CACCAACATGGACGAGGTGCCGCTCACTTTCGACATCCCGGTGAATCACACCGTGGAGAAGAAGGGGACCAGCACTGTAGCGATACACACAACGGGGTATGAAAAGGCGTCGTTTACTGTTGTGCTTGGCTGGGAAACTGGCATGTCGGATTTAGCGCAGCTGTTTAATTCAGAAACAGAGGATGAGGACTTTGAGGGGTTTGATTACTACTCTGTAATAAATACTTGAATAAAGCACAATCATACTCAGTTTTGCTCCCGCTCTATTTTTCTACCTGAAAACTTAATTCAACAGCAGCCTCTGGGCCGCGGCGAATCCGGGCTCATCTCGGCAGGTGTTTTTTCATCTAAATAATCTACCGTAAATCTTTTTTAAGTGAGAAAGTCCACCTGAAAATTTAATCATTGCAGTCAGTTCATCCAGATTATTATCCTGCCTATGTTTTAAGTTAATTTATGCATCAATAAACTGTATCAGAGGAGTAATCACAGCCCTGTGTCATCAGCGATGTGTCTCTCACGGCCGGTTCCCAGGTTTGAATAATACTTTGTAATAAATACACCTTGCAGCTATATTTGCTGTGATCAGTGGGAATAAAGTAGTTTTAATATGTTTTTAAGTGGGAAAATCCACATGAGAGGACATGTACCTGTATATAAAAAACGCGCCCTATAGTCCGGTGCGCCTTATGTGTGTGTTAAATACAGAAATGGCACACATAACTGAGACTGCGCCTTTTAGTCCGGTGCGCCTTATGGTCGTGAAAATACGGTAATAATAATAATAATAATAATAATTGAACGTTATTGATCTCACACTGGAGAAGCTAACCTCTGCATTTAACCCATCCCTGTGGGGAGCAGTGGGCTGCCATTGTGTGGCACCTGGGGAGCAATCAGGGGTTAAGGGTCTTGCTCAGGGTACTTCCAACCGTCTCAGAGCACAAGCACAGTGCTCTAACCACTAGGCCAACACTCCCCTTCAACACTCTTTTTGACATAAGTCCAGTTTTTTCTTTTATTTAATTAATTTTTTTTTTTTTTGGATTGAAACAACATTTTGGGAATTGAATGATTAAGACACAAATGTCCTACCCATGTATGGCCCAAACACAAACTAGATCCCTTCAACCAAAGAGAACATTCTCAATAATAAAAAAGTTTCAAATATTTTATTTGTATTCAAAAACTATTTTCTATGATTGAAAACGTTTATCTTTTTATTGAAGTTACTTTTTTTTATTGATTCTGTTGTTTGTTTGTTTGAAGCAGCTTTTTTAAAATTTTGATTGAATAATAAAGACACTTATGTCCTACCCATTATATTGTCAAATCAAAAAACAATATTACTTCAATTAAAAAGTTGCTTTAACCAAAAAAGACTGGACTTCTATCAAATAAAACATTTTCAATCAAAGAAAAGCAGTGTTCAAATGTATTTTTTAAGTTTCAAATATATTTTTGCATTTAAATACTTTTTTCTTTGATTGAGAAGGTTTTTGTTCATTGAGGTGAAGTTTTCTTTTATTTGAAAATATATTTTTTGATTGAAGCAACATTTTTTATTTTATTTTTAGTGATTGATTGAATGATAAAGAGACAAATCTACCTTGAGAGACAGGAAGACAAAGAAGCAGCTGGTCATTGTTAGGAAGGTGTTTAACTGTTAAAACACATCTTTTCAATAATTCTGGTGATGAACAGGAGATTGCTGGGTAAAAACACGTGGTTAAAACATCAAAGCGTAGGGGGGGGGGGTCGGGGGGGTTGGTTATTATGCAATTTCTTCCAGATTTTTCTAGTTTATGTGGTAAAATTGGGTAATTTTGTAAAAGTAAGTTGGAGACAACTTTGGTTCTGGCATAATATGGATGCAGCAACTGCTACTCTAACCATTTGGGTTTTTTTCAATGAAGATGTTGGCAAATTCATTGAAGGACCTGGTGGAGTGGAATTAAGCTGCTGCAGTCATTGGAGGGTTTGTTAACCTGTTGATGATAAGGAGTATTTATTATGTTTTTGCGGGTGATCTCAGAGATTTTTTCACATTTTTATGTTGTGATTTTTATCTGTACAATCTCTTTTTATATATCTGACAGTGAACCTGGAGTCTAAGCTTTTCACTAGCTGCGTTCAGCTATATGAACACTGCCTTTTTCCATTTCTGTCTGGTGGAGCACTTATCCACAGATACTTTTTCTTCCCAGAAATGACCTTACCTTCAGTCAGAGCATTGGAATCAATGATGTATGAAAGTTATCTACCACCTCATCTACAGTCACAGGGTGAAGTGAAGGTAGAGCAACTCTGGTGAAAGTTTTAGTTGCATCATCCTTAAAGATGTGTTTTCTTATCATCTCTGTTTGGCTAACTGAATCATTGAAAATCATGACTTTATTGTTACAGAGAAGGGGGTCAGATAGAGTAGCAACAGTTACAGAAGCTTTGGAAATGTGTCGTACATTAGTCGAATCCATAATATGTCCCTGTTTACATAGCACGACTGTCTTCAGTATGTGAATGTCCCCCACAATAATTAAACAGTCAAAAACAAACACACATCACATATAAACTACCATTAAAATAACTGAAAAGATTTTTTGAGCATGAGGCCTTAACATGTTCAAGAACATGATTTAAACCAGGATCTTTACCAACATTCGAAGAGGCCAAATTTGTTCAGAAATACTCTTTTTTTCACTTATTATATGGCCTGCATGTAAAACCTTTTGTTTGACGTTATATTTTTAAGGGTGTATCCCTACTGGTAGTGCTAGCAGTATTGTTTTATAGCAGATATAGAAAAGACTGTAAGAGTTGATGTGAAAATGGATAGTGCTAATGTAGGACAATCGTAGAAGAAAAGCAAAACCTGCAAAAGGCTTGACAAGACATTCATTACTTTCAAGCTTTGCCCCCTCTACAGCAGTTGTGTCAAAAGTACACACATTTGTTACTTAGAAGTATAGATACTGCATTGTAAAAACACTCTGGTAAAAGTTGAAGCATCAACTTGTCCTCTTTACTCAAGTAAAACTGAAAAAGTATGTGCTCCAAAAACTACTTAAAGTATAAATGTATAAAGTAACCTTTAAAAAAAAACAGCCAGATGCCACTATATGAATTGAAAGCTCAATTTTTCGACTATTTCAAAAAAATTCTGTTGTATTCAGGGGCCAGAGAAACCTTTTACAATTTTAAATTATCCAGTTTGTTCCTAGTTAATCTTTTAACAGTTTATTTCGAACTGTTTATGGTTCGAACTGCCTGTAGGTGATCTTGGATATTTAGGGAAGTAGTTGTTAGAAGCCCCCAATCCTGCAATTCAAATTATTTTCAGAGTAATTAAGTACGCTATCCTATTTGCAACTGAATACTGTCCACAAAACGCTGTTTTTTTGTTGTTTTTTTTTTTTCAAAACTGGCTTGTTTATTTAAAGAAATATGTTGAACAGATTTTGAAAAGAGCATCCAATAGTGTAGTAACAATTGTAGAAATAGCTAACTTTATTCTAAATAGATAAAAATACACAAATTAGACGGATTGGACTTTTGAAAGTAGCACCTCATTATTCCAAATAAATCAGTAGGGTTCCATCAGTGGTGTCAAAAGTACACACATTTGTTACTTAAGTAGAACTATAGATACTGCAGTTTAAAAAACCTCTTTACTCAAGTAAAAGTGAAAAAGTATGTGCTCCAAAAACTACTTAAAGTATAAAAGTATAAAGTAAACTTTAAAAAAAAAACGCCAGATGCCACTATATGAATTGAAAGCTCAATATGTTGACTATTTTAAGAAATTCTTTGAGATATGGCCAAGAATGAGGGAGGTCTTGTTGGTCTCCGTCTCCATCTACCGATAAGCTCTCACCTGTTTCCGACCTTTCAGACGTTTCAACATCTTTTTCTGAATCCAACATTGTAGCATGGCATAGACAATTCACGTTTGCAGTTTGAAGAACACCTGCTTGATTCTGATGATTTCCTTTAGCTAACCAATGAGTGTTTGCGTTATATGACTCATCCAATTACACTAGTTTTCTCTAGATGTGGTTGGCGCCAATGATCTGCATTGGATGGAGCATATGATGTGAAACAAATATTTAGAAACATTAAACCGAAGCCGCAACTAACGTGTTTTAAAAATGTAAGGAATAGAAAGTACAGATAGTTGTGTGAAAATGTAATGAGTAGAAGTAATGGAGTAAAGTATAGATACCTAAATAGTGTACTTAAGTACAGTAACAAAGTATTTGTACGTTGTTACTTGACATCTCTGCTCTTCAGTTAGAATAAGTAGTCAATTTAATCTTTGTTGCTATGCCAAAAGAGTAAAAGTGACTACAATTATGTTCCAGTGACTTTAGTTTCCGGGATATGATTCAGGCTAAATCATTACATTAATCACAAGCACAGTCATTGGATCTTACATCAGGACTAATTCACAGAGTGTGGGAGGCCCTGCCTGCGTCAGGGTCTACGCATGATCCCGTGGGAAATGACGTCAGACGCTGGTCTCCAGGCTGGGAGATCCCTAATTTAAAACATAACCGTAGCTTTACCCAATATAGGAAAAAATAAATTAATCTCCACACTCCACAACATTATTGTTAAATTCACGTACGTTTTTGATAAAAAAAAATGCGATAGATGAGTTGAACATCATCATTATTATTATTTATTTATTTTTTATCTTTTCCCCCTTGTTATTGGATTCTCTCTGTCCGCTTTTCTCCCTCTGAATCTTTACTGAATCAAACACTTTACTAAGTTAAGCTGTGCCTTATTTTTTTCGATTGTCGTTTTTTTTTTTTTGTCTTTATATCTTGGATATAGGTTATTATCTTAATACAGCCGTAATTTTCAATCGCATTTGTAGATAATAAAAAAAATTGTTCGTTGTAATATTATTTTCTAATGCGTGTGGTCGTGTAAACGTAGAGATATAATTTTAACCAACCAAAATAAAGTATGAAGACCGGTCACTATAGCAACGATGTTTTGTTGTCAGTAGCAACCAAAATAACGCCCGGAGAGTGTCCGTTTTAACTAGCTTGTATGCTGGTTTGGTTCATTTTATTTAAGATTTTTTTTTATAAAGTCCAGGTGCCGCTGTGCGCAGCAGTGGGTCAATGGATTCTTGTTCTCTCTACTATTCTCTGGACCTCGTTGCCAGCAGCGGACATGTTCTAACTGTTGAGCAGAGAATCGCTCTTCAAACGTCCCTGTTGATCCTGAAGAAAAAGTACAAGTTCCAACGGGTCATGTTATGGGGCAAAATATTGGGAATACAGGAGAACTACTTCATAGCTCAAGGGAGAGGTGAATCTGAAATAAAGGATCGGAAATATCTGTACAGGTAGGAACACAAAGTTCCCCTAATTATTTTAACTTTTCCCTGGTTTTCATTATTTGTTGTTTTTGATCTGTCTCTTTAAGCCTCGACTGCATGGAATGGTTCCTTCTTCCCATGGTCACTGAGTCTATGATTGAAGAAGTGTCCAAAGCGGTCAGGGGTCATTTCATAGGAGAACCCTCTTTTGTGTATGAACAGATCCACAGCCATGGAGGTGGAGAAGAGGCTGCAGAGGGGGAGGAGGTGGTAGGTTTGTCTCAATGCCCTAGGAGTCATTTAGATGGGAAAGTTTGAGCTTTTTTTAATTTACAGAATATAAACTATTTGATAATTTCTCATTCAAAATAAGAAATACAGCAAATCTGAACTTGAATGTCCTACACCAGAGGCGTAGCCAGAAGATTTTTATCAGGGTGGCCAGACAATAACCAATGTACACTGACGGTGGCCGGAAGTGGATTGGCACAAGAACCTCACGGTCAATCTACACAGTTCCAACAGGAAAATTAAGGGGCAAAACATCCATATTTTCTAAATAAAGACAAACTATATTTTCCCACAGACTTTACTAACAAATAGACTAATATATTTAAACATCTGTAATTTCTAGATAAAAGGTATAGCGGATAAAATTCTTTCAGTTTTGAGTTCTGGGGCGTAAATCTTTTCCATTATCATTACTTACCTACTTGTATCAATAAACATTCTGCATAAAATTTATATTTACAAGCACTTATATCTACATAGATTGATTATTTGATAAGTTTTTATTAAAACTGTTATTTACCTTTGATTTCACTGAAGACTCCTAGATGACTTGCAGACACATAATTTTCTCTATACCCCATAAAACACAAAATCTAGTTCTGAAAAGAGAATTAATTCTGTACTTATCATCTTTGATGTTAGTATATTGATGTGCATAATTAACCACAAAAAATCAAAATGTTTTCACTATTCCACTCGAGATTATTACTGCTGCCACCATCTGTATTAGAGGGAAAAAATGCTAGGGGTGGCCATGGCCACCTCTGGCCCCCAATCTAGCTCTTTCCCTGTCCTACACTGGGCAGATATTCATTCAATTATTTAAAACCAAATGCTTTGATGCCCTAACAAATACTAACAGGTTTTGGCTCTCTAAACGACCAAAGTTAGATATTTTCTTGCATTGTCTGTTAGCTTTTCCTTTCTCGTTTTAAAACAAGTCTGAGTGGTTTTCTAATTGTGAAATAAAATAGTTGCATTCCTCCATGTTGGTTCCAGATCAGGGTGAATGAGGAGAAGAGGCTGGCAGTGACTGTTCATCTTATTGATGAAGACGTGTCTGTGGTACCCAGAGGCGCCTTCATCAGAAATCCACTTGGTCATGTCCAGATGAACCGCAGCTTTGAAGGTAAATGTGCTGTAAATTGTGGTACAGATTCCTCCGTCTTATTCATCATCATGGAAATGACATCCTCTGTTTTAGAGCCTTTGAGTCACAACTGTTTGAAGTGGGTTTACATATTTCAAGGATACATCATCTTTGCAATATCTAGGCAGGTTTGTGTATAGAGCTACATCCTTGTTTTGTTTTAGTTACATTTAAAAGTTTTGTGTTTATTCTTAGGTCTTTCTGAATCAGAAGCGAGGAGGCTTGAGAATTATCTACACTTCCGTGAATGGAAGACGGGAAACAAGAAATCCATCACAGATATGTGGGAATGGAGTCCAGCCATCGATTTTCTGGATGCCCTCAGTGATGACATTCCTAAAGGTAAAGATGCATTTTTCTTACCACAGATTATTGTATATCGGATGAAAAAAAAAACACAGGAGTTGTTGCAATTACTTTTTCACCTTTTAAAAGAGTACCTAGGTCAGATCTGACAAAAATATACTGTAATCTGACTTGCAGAGGCTAACATTCATATATGCCTTTTGGATTTTGTTTCTATTCTATAACATTTGGAACTCTGATTTCAATCCCTATTATTGGGATTATTAATAATTTGCTAAGAAATTCAGCATATAGTCGTGAAGTGATAGTAGAAATTGATACCTGGTATAAAACTTTTTAAATAACATTTTAAAAGTTATTACAAGTTATTACATTGTCTATGGTTTCTGTTTTAACCCATTGTTCCACCTGAACTGTGGATTTTTGTAGCTCCTCAAGTCACTATTGGCTTTATAGTCCTCTATGATGTTTGCTCTTATTCCCTAGCCTGCCTGGTCCAGGTTGATGACCATATATTTTTGATTTTTTAAGTTGTGCCATGGTCTTTCTTAGGATATATATATATTTTTTCCACCTAACCCTGCTTTAAACTTCTTCAAAATTTAATGCATGATCTGTTACTAACTGGAGTAATACAAGTACATTATATTCTTCTCATATTTCTATGCAAAAAAATATAAAGAACTAAATTTCTGCTTAAAATCAGACTACATTGTGTTGTTCTATCAGATACATTCCTAATGTAATACAATTTTGCAAGGCAAAACTTATCCAGGATATCAGTGTGGCTTTACAGATTTTTGTTAATTATTACTAGTAAGATTGTTCCATTCAGGGATTTAACTGATGAGTTTCACTCCAAGCTTTTGCAGCTTTTTAGAGACTTTCTAGAATTATTTTACGATTCTTTGTTTAGCAAATTTATATTCAATAGTCAAGGATTCAGACTAATTTTTTAAATCTAAATTCTTAAGACCTCTACTCTTGAATTCACTTTGTAAAAGCCTGAAATAAACCAGAAATATTCCTCTGAGTATGAAAACTGTAGCTGTAAAGAGATGGATAGCTGCATTTAATAGGATCAGTTTAATGCTGACAGCACATTCTGGCCCTCAGAAAGTTCCATGTAATGGAAAGAGCGGCTAAATCCAGAAGGCAAATATTAAACCGCAAATACTGTACAGGCAGTCATGCGATTTTGGTTATGCAAAGTCATGTCGACATGACAGTAAGGTTTGTCGCTGGATCCCATCCAGCCCAGAGCGACCATGCATAGCGAAGCCCTGGGTGTGAAATATGTGGATGTCAGACGACTTGAAGAAATGTTTAGCACCCGCAAGTAAACATATAGCAGATGTTCGCTTCAAGAGAGCTTCCACATGTGCATTTGTTTATGCGAGCAGCGCATCACTACAGCAGACAGCACGCAGCTGCTTCAGTGCAAATAAAACAGACTGAGAAAGATGGAGAGGGCATATTTGGAAACGATCCCAAAATCGCTTGGGGGGAGGAGAGAGAGATCTGTTCCAACAACCTCTGCTCCCTTGCCTTTCACATCTTCATTTACTATGAATCTCACAAAATGAAGAAACCTAAATTGCAATTTTACTTGGAGTTGCATCATGTTTGCAGACAAGTCCAAAAGCAACAGTTGAAAAAAGCTGGCTCATTGATCAGAATCGCCTCCCTTTGTGTTATCAAGTGTTTTCATAATAGCCAATCCCGTTCTCGTTCAACTCCCATGTCCTTCGTGTTTATGGTCCCACCCAAGCAAGCAGAGAAACAGGCTAGACGGTAAACACCAAAAAGCACAAAGGGATGATTTATTGGTGTATCCCTTGGCAGTTTCTTGCATGTGAACAAGATGGTTTTCCCAAAGATTACTGCAGGCTTTACTTCAATGCAGAGAGCAGGAGGTAGCCACTTCCTGTGATTTCATGCCAACTGTTTACAGGTCTGCTCTGTTTGCGTTTAGGATCGTGGAGTCTTCAGTTTGAGTGTGCCAGCAGAGTGTGTGTTCTGCGCAGCCTCCTGTGGCCTGGACTCACTTTCTACCATGTGCCCATGACGCCACAGCATGGATACATCTACATTGGCTTCGGAATGAAAAACATTGACCTTCCTTTCAAGCTGTAAAAGAATGAATGATTTCCTATGGCTGCATTTTTATTTAAACTAACTTTTTCATTTTCTTGTCTTAAGAGTAACTATAATCAGTTAACAATGAGCTCTGTTCCCTTAAAAAAAAAAAAAAAAAGCTATTGCTTCACAGTAAACACGAGGGGAGAGAGAGTAAACATTGACATTTTATTTAAACATCTGTTTTGTGTCAAGTTTGCACAGTCAACATACCACCTACTTTGAAAGTGTAACACGGACCCCAGTGGTTGGTGACATGAAGTTGTTGTAGAATGTTTTGATAGTTAGATAAGATGGTTCAGGGTGGGGCTGGATATGACTCAATAAAGGTCTGATGCAGATGAATAAACAAAAGTCAGTCTTCAGTCTTCAGCCACGCCTTTATGACATAAATCCAGGGTAATATGAAGATCCATCCTCCAGCTGCTGTATGGACATGTCCTTCAGTGCTTTATATAAAGCGGCTTCACACCGTACCGCACGTTGTTCCTCAGTGCCGGGTGACCAACATCCATGCGCTTCTTGCACCACTTCAGTCCCTTTTTATAGATGGGTTTCACCGAGGTAATTGACCAGCGAGTCAAGTATCTGTAAACCAAACACAGATGTGAAATAATGTTTTATAGCATTAAACCCACTCAAAGGCAAAGAGGGGAAATAATGGAGGTAAAACAAAAGATGTAGCAGCAGAGCAGCACCTGTTCAATTGGGGCTTGGTCCTCTTTGGGACATGACCCTCTGGAAGTCTGGGTCTGTGGTCAGGGAGCAGACCTTCAACACAGACAATAAAGAAGATGTATTACTTCCAGCAACGAGAAACATAAATAGTCTCAGAACTTAAGATTTCCTTTTAAGTGAGCATTTGGAACCAGGAACAGCCCACAGATGTTAAAGATATTGAGACATACACAGATGCAGTACTCTTAGGCACAACTGGCCTTTTTTTTCAAAATCTTTGAAAGTGATCAGACAGGAAATGGGAATAAGAGTGGGGAAAAGACATGTAGTGAAGGTCAACAGTCCAAAACTACAACCCCTGACAGCCACGTTGAGGACTTCCACCATACATGGGTCACACGGTTTACCCTGCCATCATAGCACCCTAGAGGCACACTGATATATTACAGTCACTATGTTTACATAATAATATGCGATTGGGGAAAACAGCTGATCGAACTCAAAACGTATTATTATATTCTGATCAGATTTAACAGAACTGGAATGAAATTGTAATCCAAATGAAGGCTGGTTTAAACTGATTGACAATCTGAACAGCGATGTAAACACTCATTAGGATCAAGTTATTCTTAATGAGGAATGCTAACCCACATCAACAATGTGGCTAGCTAATATCCGAATATTTAGATCAGCATCTTATTCCGATTGATTAGGTCCATGTTAATCTTACATACCAATTTTTTTTCCTTTATCCGATTGCATTTTAATCCAAATGAGAAATTTTGTGCTTGTAAACGTAGTTAGCGTTTGTGCTAGAATAAGAACAAGGAAGCTGATACATTTAACTGAAATGTGTTTCTATTATTTTTTTTATTCATTTTATAAAGAAACTACAAAAAACAAGGTCATCATAAAACACAAAGAAATTCAACACAACTTTAAAGTCGTAGGAAAGCGACTGTTCCAAACGTTGCATTTCCGAATTCTCCCGAGTCGTGCACGACTTTACACGAGTGAATAAAGTGAATTTGATTTGTCTAGTTCAAGAGGGCGGGATTGTTGTGGTAGAAGATTCGCAAGCAAGTTTGATTGTGGGCGGTTTTACGGAAGCAATCTTGCTAACCAGTCAGCAGCTTAGAGTTAGTAGGTTGCCAATGGGAAATTCCATTGGGACCAAGTAGCACTAAATTGGTGACTTAGAAACGACACTGTCAAGGAACGCTATGGACAGCTGAAACATGCAAGAGGAGGAGAGTTTTGTGTCGGAGGTCGTGGATGAGTCTCCTCCGCTCCTTTCAATGCAGCGCTCACAGAGCTCGGAGTATTAAGTTAAAAGTTCTCTTTTCTGTTGCTGATGTTCAATAAAAGTACGTTTTAAGATCATTTGAGGTGTGAATATACTTTTAGGCATCACTATATGGCCCAGCGGCAAGGTCTAATTCAAGCCTGTCTGCAGCAGCCCTCTCTCAGCATAGCCATATGTGAAGGACCGCTGGCTATGATGGAGAGTTTTTTGTTTTATTTGGCAAAATGTTCATTTGATTTGTGTTTATCTGACTGTGCTAATTATTATTACCACACTAAAGGAAAAAAGTCATAATTTATTATTATCAAGAGGATATTAATAACAGGATGAGAAGCAGCTCCAGACGAGCCGAGCGTGTGGTGACATCACGAGTACGCTTCTTCTGTTTCTTCTGTCAATATGCTCTATCCAGAACATCTAAAGTGGAAATGTTTCGGTTTCACCTGGTTGAATTTTGTAGAAAGTCTTCCTTATTAACCCATTTGATATAATTTATCAATCAAATAATCAAAAAGATAATCAACAGATTATTTGATGTGCAAAACAATCATAGTTGGTTGCAGCTCTAATTGGAACAGAAGCGTACTCGTGAGAAACAACATTGAAAGCTAGTCTGGAGCTTAATTTCACCTCCTGTTATTAATAGTCCTAGATAATAATAAATTCTTAATTTTTTCATCTAGTGGAAGAATTTTTTTTAAACACAGATAAACATAAATGAAATGAACGTTTTGCCAAAAAAAAAAAGAATGCCATCAGATCCATTTGTACTTCCCACCAGCTATGCGGAGAGGGAGCTCCTGCAGACGGACTAACCTTAGGCCTGGCTGCAGTTAGTGTTTGTTCTCCTCTGATTGCCGCAGTCCTCTCAACATCTGAACTTTTTAAATCAGTAAATGGGCCATATAGTGAAGCTTAAAACGTATGATGTTCTCGCCTTAAATGTATGTTAAAACGTACTTTTGTACAACAGCAGCAGCAGAAAAGGGAACTTTTGAGTGGTTACGATTGATTATTGATGCTGGTGGTTTCTGCGGCTCTAGAACCGAATCTTGAACCAGAAACTTAATTTTAAATGCTTAGGTGATTTTTAAACATTCAAATTTAGATGGGTGATTAATAAAACATGTTTCTGTGGTGTGAAAAAAACTGAGAAGACATTTATTCCTACTTTAAACAGTCTTTAAGAAACATGAATATAACAGTGTTTCAACTGCAACTTCTCTGATTCATTACTGTTGAAATAAATGAGCATTTATTTTATCACATATGTTCATGTATATTATGATTCATGTTTTTGCAACAAAAAAAAACAACAGTGTGATGATAAAACAGAGCCGGACTGCTCATAATAAAGAGAGGAAAAGAGTCTTGAAAGTCATTATGGAATATTGCTTGCTTATGAAAAAATATAGGATATCTGTTAAGGACAATCCAATGTGCTGGATTTCAATAAGCTGTGATTAAAAACAGTCCTAATGTTCTTTCCAGCAGAGCTGATCAGTCTTAATATGCACACACAGCAAGATTATCTCCCCTGATAATCAGGGCCCCTCTATTCTGAGCGGTCCTGATAATTGGGGCCTCTCAAGGCAGAAAATTAGCATGATTATCTTGCCCCGTAAATGCTACATTAAAGAACATGTAATTTGTTCCATACTGTGTCTGTATGCTGTCTGTGTGTTTTGTCTTTTATTGGTTGGGCTGTACCGAAACTGAAATTTCACCCTACTGGAGTGCCACAACAGGCTGGGTGACAAAGAAATCTTTAATCTTAAATACGGTAAAAGAAATCTTCAATCTCCCACATTTTCACTTTACAGGTTCTTAATTAAGACATTTTCTTGTTATTGCTTTCTTACTACCAGCTCATTGTATCCATATGTAAAGTTAAAATATTAACTTTGAAGTAAAATTATTTTCCCAGATAATGGATCCGACAGTAGCCATACTTTTTTTTATGGATAAAGTTCAGTTGGAAGTCAGACTTGGATCTGAGACTTATACCACAGCAGAGTTTACACATTAAAGTAACAACAAAACCCCATTGAGAAACCGACCCAGATGACCCACATTGCAAAGGGGTGGACCTGTTCATCCGCTAATAATAAATAAATAAACAAGGCTTTGTTGGGCTACTGTATAAAACCTGGAACTATCGCTATTTCTGATATTTTGAATTGAAAAAGCTTAAGGATGAGAAGCAAAACGTCTTCAAACTTGGAAACAAAGTCCAGTGGATTGTTTTTTATTTTATTTTTTGGAATGAAATTTAAATTTGCTACTTCTTGAACTGGATTAAAATCTAAAATAAGAAAAGTTGATATATTTCTTCTTATTTTTGTGTCCATTAATCTCCAAATAGAGGTTGTACCTTCATGTTTTTTTTTTTTTATATATATGAAATATTCCCAGGATTAGGTTTTCATTTGTTTCACATTTTCATCATCATCCTTCTTTGCAAATATTAAAATACATTTAATAATAATGAATATTTGTCTTTTACAAAAGTGACATTAAAAATTAAATACTATAATCCAAAATCCAAAGTCAGTGTAACGGTTTACTTGAAAGGGCAACCCTATTTAAGTTTTAATGTATTATCCATCAAATATGTTCCTTTTCCCTTTGGTCTTATTTTTAAAGGAACATTTTCATCTTCAAATTCATTCAGATCTAATTAACGTTGCTGGATGTTTCCAGGCTTATTCTAAGTTTTTTTCTTTTAAAATGTTACACTAATTAGAAACAGACACTTGTTTGCTCTACTTGTAATAATCTGTATAGAAACCACTGATGAGTTCAAAAAGTTTCCAGTAAATTGGATGACTTTTGTGGGCCTTTTTTTTTTATTCAGCCAAACTCTCACCAGCTCTGTGTGCCATCTGCACACAGATGGCAATCTTGCGATGCTCCTCTGGACAAAGACCAGTTATTCGCTTTGGCAGCATCCCTCCATCTGACCTGATGAACTGGCTGAGCAAAAGAACGTCCTGGAGAAAGTAGAAATCAATATACACTAAGATAAATTTAAAAAGTTTTACACCAAGGATGATTTGATTTATTATTTGGGGAAAATAGATTTTTGATTGCATTTACAGTGTAGCTGTACTTGTGCTGCAGGTTCCATCTGTAGATAGGACACTTGGCTGTTGGATTTGGAGGCTGTGGTCCTGCAGGCATATCTATAATCTCTCCCTCAATCTAGCAACAACAAAAGGGAACAAACATCCTCTGTGATAATCAATGTGTACAATCCAGAAGGTATCCACTGCACTTCACTTCCTTCATGTTACAGCCTTAATCCAAACGGGGCGACAGTGGCGTTGGATGTAGGAGTTTGCCCTGTAATCGAAGGGTTGACGGTTCAAGCCCCGACTCCGACTTTCATTGTCGTTGTGTCCTTGGGCAAGACACTTCACCTGCATTGTCTACTGATGGTGGTCAGAGGGCCCGGTGGCGCCAGTGTACGGCAGCCTCGCTTCTGTCAGTGAGCCCCAGGGCAGCTGTGGCTACAATGTAGCTTGCCACCATCAGTGTGTGAGTGTGTGCGTGAATGGGTGAATGAATGTAGTGTAAAGCGCTTTGGTCAAGTCTCCTAACTTGAATAAAGGCGCTATATAAGTACATGCCATTTACCATTTATTAAAATCATCTCCTTTCTCAACATTCTGCATACAATACGCCATTATGACAATACCTTCCTCATCTCTCCAGAATGATGAAGCAGCAATGATGTAGCTCTAACAGAATGACAACCTTTATTATTAGGGCCCTTCTTCTCTAATCCTTTACTTTAGATGGATGACTGTAGGAAAAGTCCCAGTGGTTCCAAACTTTTCAATGTACCAATTATGGGGGCCACTGTTCTCCTTGGGACCTTCAGAGCAGCAGACATTTTCCTGTATCCTTCCCTAGATTTTTGCCTCAACACAATCTTGTCTGGAAGTGCACGAACTTCACAGCAAATACTAGAAATACTTACATACACGTAATTTCTTACGTAATTCCTTCCACTGTCATAATGTATTTTAGCCCATTTGGAACATGGCTGAATGAAACTGAATGTAGAAAAGTGCAGAAAAAACAAAACAAAATAACATATTTTCTGAATGTATTCCATCAGGAAAAAATTAGATTAGATTAGATGAGCTTTATTGATCTCACAGCGGAGAAATTCACTCGTCACATATTGGCATAGAAGTTACTGAAGGTGCAAACAAGGAGGAAAAAGGTGCATTAAGAATAAACAATATATATACAGTATATCCAGGTATATACAGTACATCCAGGTATATACAGTATATCAAGATAAATAAGGATTAAGGTGCAAGTGTACATGTATCGCACACAATGAAAAACAAAATAAAAATAAGAAATAAAAAATAAAAATATGTACAATCCGGATGGCTTATTTACAGGTGGATTTACTTTAAAGTTAAGGTGTAGTAGGTAAGGAACAACGGTGAGGTATTGGTATGACTATTCTAATAGGCTTAATCATATTTGGTGGACCTACTGATACAAATAAAAACAAAAATATGCCTTGGAAATGACACATTTAAAACATTCAACCTAAACACAAAGAGAATGAAAGATTATAGCTTAATTTTACTTACGGTTGTGGTTTTGCCATCTTTTTTCTCCACCACTGGGAAGGAGACATAACAGAACATCAGGTTTTACTCATTACTGACCTGAACAACACTTAAAATCAAATTCAAAATTATATAGCAAGCCATACAGAACTGATTAAATTGACTTTGGATTAGATGTTAATTAAAACAACTCAAAAAAGCTGTTTTAAACAAATTATCCTTTGTTTCAAAGTCAGTTGTTTATTTCTTTAGATAAAATAAAAGTCAGCTTTATCTTTTACATACGTTCATTGATTAATGTTAAAGATCAGCTTGAAAAATGAAGCAAAAAAAACCCACTTGTAATTAATTTCAGAAACTTTGACTATTTAGATTGATTACACATAGAGTGAAGTATTTTAACTTTGCTTGTGCACTGGAAGGAAAAATTGATGACAAGCTATATGGAGATGATGACTGCATTTTCCAAACAGGATGTGCATAGCTGCCCACACTGCCTAAAGTACCAGGAGCTGGCCTCGTTGGACAGGGTGGTAGTGTGCTTGACTGGACAGCAAACTGTGTAATCTTAACCCAATAAAAAAAACCCAATGCTTTCAAGAGGAAGATGAGAAACCAGAACCACAGACTGATCCACACCGTGTCATGCCGCATAGATATTGTAACTCATGCAAAATTAAGTCCAACTAAGTGCTGTGCAAGGAGGAATGTGCATACTTTTCAAGAGCCTGACATTTCTGTTCCAAACATCTTGTTTTATTTAAGCCATTGTAATAATCACCTCAATTTGGGTTTTTGGAAAGTTTTCCTGTATGAGTTTTCCCTTTCTAAAATTAACTCCCAAAAAATTTACTGTTCATCTCACCCTTAGTATGGATTTAGTTTACAGATAAACTTAGTCAGCTGCCTGCATTTGTAATGTCTACAAGGAAGCTGTTCATGTCTGATTTATCTGCAGTAAAAGCATTTATGGAATGTAGTCATGTTTAATTAATGTTTTTGTATATATTATAAGATGCAGGTAATTTATAATAGCCTGATAAACTATTGGAAGGCATGATGTAAAAAAAAAAAAAAAAAAAAAGGTTTATTTATAATAAGATGAGCACATTTCACTAAAATATCTTAACATTAATATCATGATATCTTATCTACATATACACAGTTAAAGTCAGTTAGCGGTGAATACTTCTATATAATCATAGCTTGTAATACATATCTTTTATATTGTCTCGGGAATAAAAAAGAAAGAAAATACACACATGCAGTACAGGGAGACCTATGCTAACACCAACGGGTGGCTAAAACATCCCCGTTCTGACCCAGCCTCACCTTGACGAATCCCTCTGGTCTGGACGGCTATAGCAGATATCTGAGGAACATTGACCCTTGGTAGTGGACTCACGCTGGACATTATAAGACCATGTTTTAAGCCTGCAAACGAGGTCCAAATAGACCTTAGCAAGCTGCGGGCCGCCATGTTTAACTCTTGACCTTCCTCCCTCTCGCGTTTCACGTTAGAATCTCGCGATACTAAACCAGTGACGCTCCTGGTGAAACGTCATTATTACAGCCTTGATGGAAAAACTCTCATATATAATACTTAAAAGAAATTCTAATGATGCTATGCGCTGGAACAGACTTGGTTATTGATAGGTCCTTTGGATCTATTTCATTGTTTTTCTTTACAAATTCTGTTTTACTACTTATATAAAAACAATAAGGCGATAGCTTCAGTGGTATTGAGATAGGAGCCCAGTTTTCATCTGCTAAATGTTTTTTTTTCACAATAAAAACATAGAAAGGAGGAAAGAGTGATAACAAGGTTGAGATTTGGGCATGCAAGACTTTATTATACACTTTTCAAATGTCAAAAGCATACTACTGTCAAATGTCATTACTGTGGAAAATATGAAACAATAGAACATGTTATACTGGAATGTCATAAATATGAAAGCGAGAGAAGATATATGAGGAGAGAGTTTGAATGTATTAAGGAAAAGATTCATTTATTAGATATTTTGAGGAAGAATTTGGGGAGTTAACATATACAAATAATTATTTGATTTTTAAAGAAAACTAAAGAATTTCATTATAGAGAGGGTGAATGTGTGTAGGATATAGATGGGTAGAATACCAAGCTATGTAAAAGTATGTAGTTTCTTTTTTTTTTTCCTTAGAAATTATATATGTTTATAAGTAGATAGTTGATCACGAACCACACTCCATACCAGTAAGTGGCTGTAATGCTACTAAATGTTTGTTGCCAACTGCCAATAAATCCAAGGAGAAGAAGAAGAAGAAGAACTTCTCACATCTTTTTACCAGCTTCTGTGGTGGTAAAGAGAAAGGTGGTGGTACTTGTGCTTAAATTTACATGATGATATAAAAAGAAAACAAATAAGAGATAATGATGTGGTCTCTCTTTCTACATTTACCTCTAAATGAGGTGGACACTTTTCAATATATCATCATATTTCCTTCTGTTCAATTTTTAAATGTTTCCATCATTTTTAGGTGGTGTTTGTCACATTCTTCTTGGACATAGCAAACTTCAGTTTTTTTCTCTCCACTTATTTGTTTTTTTTTTTCAGTTTCAATAAAAATGTTCAGCTTCTTCATACCCACCTAATAAAACAAATAAATAGTATTTACTATATTTTAAAACTTCTATTACAGACTAGAGCCTCATTGACTTAAATAAACCCTTTTCTACAATAAAAAAAAAAAAAAAACTTAAACACTGTCTATCATCATCGTCAAATGAATATAAAGCTAGAAAACAATGGAACTAAACTTGAATAACATTTGATGGTATTCCATTCAACCTGCTTTTTTATTTATTTATTTATTTTATTTTTTTAACTAAGTTGTAGTTAGCTTTACTTTATTGCGACAAAGAATTTCTACGTATTAATTTTTAATAACAATAAAGATAGCATAGACAAGAATATAAATCATTTGTCATGTTTGAAGGGTTAAAAATTTAACAATTTCCAATGTTTTATTTTATTTATTTATTTTATTTGTAGAAAGTACAACCTAAATAGAGACAGACAATTCTGATAGTTCACATCCTCAACAAAAGGTTTAGACTATGACTCTGCCTTTTTTTTTTTTTTTCTTTTCACCAAATTCTTGAATGCTAATTTTTTCAGAGAAACAGTTTTAGGAGGGAGAAACAAATATATGCCAAGTATATTTTTAATGTTTTTTTTTGTTTTTTTTATTAATGTCAGGACTCAGAACAGAGGGACCCAGTATTCAAGGCAAGACAGACATTGGGATAACTCAAAAAGCGTTTATTAAAACATTGATCTGTAGTTGCAGCTGCATCTGAGCAAGGAAATTCTGGGGAGAGGAAACACTGGTTAGTGACCACATAAATCTCATGGAGGAAGATTATCAAAATGAGTCACTGACCCGGATTACAAGATCAGTCCATAACAGGAGAAAAAGGTAGGATTACTCTCAACAGGATGCAGCAGTGTTCCCCAGAGTCTCCCAGGTGCTGCAGCCTTGGAGAATAGGCAGGAGTCCGAAGCCAGGTCAGGCAAACAGATCAGAACAGGAACAGACAGGCTCAGGGATACAGGACTCCGACTACAGCTCAGGCAAATCAGAAACTCTTAAAAGGCTCTCACCACTGGAGCAAGAATAATCTAGCTTGATGACTGGATGCAAGCACCTTAAATAGAGGCAGTAGCAGGTGGATCAGATCAGCAGTGATTAGAAACCAGGCAGAGTTAGACAGGTGAATGACAATAATATATATATATATATATATATATATATATATATATATATATATATATATATATATATATATATATATATATATATATATATATATATACATATATATATATATATTAGCATTTGCATTAGATTGTATATTTTTTCAACTTTACATACATCTGTAAATCTTAAATTGGACTCATGAGTCTAATTTAAGATGAGTAGTTCATAAATCAGTTTCTCAGCACTTCAGTAGCCTTTTTCTGCCTGTAGTTTTCACTGTTTCATAGTTCCTTTGATGTCTACTCCTTTACCGTTTGTTGAAAATTTGTTAAGAAGAGCCACTCTTACTGGAGTGCACTGAGCTTTATCTTCAAGCTGTTGTGGACCTCTGACTTTTCTACTCAGAATTCCTGTTTTAGAATTCTGAAACAGGAATTCGAATAGCTTTACGAAATAATAAAGCTATTTCGTATTTGTACTTGCAAATTGCCCTAAAGAAGAAAACAGTGATAAACACCAAGGTGACAGGTTGAACTATTTCTTATGCAACATATTTCAGGAACATCAATTCTACAGTGTCCCTCTTCTAAGCAGTGTGTTCCTTGGATACTTTTATCTTTGTTTTGCTTTTCCTCTGAAGCCAATAAGCTCACTGTCCATTCTTCTTGCTTACCTTGCTCATCAGATGAAAGCTTAAGTCGACCCAAAGCACCACTGTTGGGACATGCAAGGCCTTTAATGCAGAAACCTCATTATACAGGTAAACTCACCAAGCACAGATAAAGTGGCAGATAAAGTTTGTGATGTCTGATAGTGTTATCATGAGAACAATATGCCATTATGCAGTTGCAATGTTTTTGCTTGCTATGTTTCCGAGTTTATCTTGTATCTTTATCTTTATATTTAAAGGAACCGTTTAAGGAATCCAAAGCTGGCCTGCAGCTGCACATCTGTGTACAAGTTGAGGTCTTGATTGAAATAAATGACGGAGCCTTCAGAGCATTGTTAAAGCCCTTTTGAAAGTAACGGTACCCTGTGAGGGTTTGACCACTGGAAGTATAAAGCAGCCATAATTCAGTACTAAGGGTGGTTTAGTTGCATTATTATAAACAGAAGCATGAATTTTGGAAAGCATGCAAAATTTTCAGGAAGCAACACAAACTGTGGGAAGACTTTAGAATGATACATAGTTGGTGTGTGTCACAAAAAGAATAAGAAGGAAACAAATAGTAGGGGTTTAAACAACCCACAGTGTTATTTCATATTTTACAAAATAGAACTTGCACATTTTAAAACCTCAGCCAGTTAAACCATTATTATACATTTCTAATGGTGTCTAGAACTGAATGCAGCTGTGAAAGCAGCCTGGAGCACATTTGGGATTGCAGAGACTGCTGAAAGAAAGAATGTTATACATATATCCACATGAATACGAGCCCATAGCAGGCCATAAAGAAACATCTCCAACTCAATTAGCATCATGCGGCCTTTAAACAATAGCAAAGCATCAACAAAGTCTTTTAGCCGGCGTATTTCAAAGTGGAGAAAGGAAGGAGAATTCGTTACAAATCTTTTCCCTCTAACCATGGGCTATCTAATTGGATTTAAAAAATGTTTCAAATAAAAATCTATTTAAAGGTGCCGTAGGAGATCTTGGAAAAATGGTTCCAGCAAGCTATATTTTTGAATATTCACAACCATGCCTCTCCCTTCAGACCACCCCTTGAAACCATGCCTTCAAAACACATGAACGCGCATGCTGTCTGTCAAGGTGTTTTGATGTTTCGGAGATTGAGAACGAAACAAATTGAGACCGAGGGCTTGTGAAACGAGCTAACAACAACATAACAGTGGCTCGCTTCACCAAGTAAAAAGGTGGTTTTGATAGCAATGTTGAGATACGGGAGTGAACAGCTAGAGCAGCAAGGCTTGTGGTTGCTATCCAAAGCCATGTAGGAAACCAAGCATAAACATACGCAAACAAGCAAAACATATACTGAAAAAATATCTTATTTTTCCAAAGCATTACATTGACAGCATGGGCTATGATGGTCGAAGCCATGTTTACTTGAACAATGGTAATTACTTATCAGAGCTGGTGAGTAAAGCAAGAATAGCGGACAGGGATGGAGGTGGAGGGGGCTTAAAAAATCCTTGCTTTGTAGGTATCGAGCTGGGTAGTTGCTGGCCGATCGCATTGTCATAACTAACAAAAAAACACACGGGAATCACAATTTGTACTGGTCCTCGCGCTTGCACAAGCATTGGGGGGTTGATTCATTCATGTGTCAGGGTACGCGCACAAACGACCCTTATAATAAGCAGATCACCCTTATTGACGTGTTACAAACCAATAGTGGACCATGGACCGTGTTTTGTGATTGGCGTGTGTTACTCTTTGATTTCAAATTGTAACAGGGACCATTTTTTTTTGGTTTCACTTCCAGAATTTCTATTTCACTGCTTGCTACATGGCTGTGGGGAGATCAGAAAAGATCTCCTACTCCACCTTTAATTCAAGAGAACCCATTTGATTTATTTGGAATAATGAGGTGCTACTTTCAAAAGTCAAATCACTCTAATTTGTGTATTTAGAATAAAACTAACTACTGTATTTTTACAATCCTTACTACACTATTGGATGCTGTTTTCAAAATGTGTTCAGTATATTTCTTAAAAATAACCATGCAAGTTGTGAATAAAAAAAAAAAACAGTGTTTTGTGAACAGTATTCAGTTGCAAATAGGATAGTGTATAGTTACTCTGAAAATAATCATATTAAT